GGCAACCAAATGCGGTGGCAACGTTTCAAGATTTGGGCTAATGCGATTTATGCTCGTGCTGGCGCTGCTTTTCTTTTCTACTGCCGCAGGTGGGGCTAATGACATTTGCCCGACGTCAGACGAATGCAACCTGCAAAAAGGCAATGCCAAGAATCGTGCAGCTGCGGCCACGCGATGTCAACAATGCTAAAATGTGGCAACGTTGACGCCCCGCCCACCCCCATAACGCCCATTTCTGAGCGACGGGGGCGTGGCAGTAGCCAGAGTGCAGTTGGTATAAGTCGAAGGCGCGCCAGGGCATGCGATAAGTAGGCTATGTGTAGGAGAAGCAGCGAGAGAATGCGAGAAAGTAACATAGAGTGAGAGGCGAAAGAGAGGAAGGTGGAGAGAGAGAGGGAGAGAGGGGCGAATGTAAAGTTAACAAAGCTCAAAGTGTGGCATGCTAAATTGCAATGAATCAAGTTTATAAGCCAGTTCAATGGGCTATCACATCGTAGGACAACATTTGTTCAACTCGAAAACTTGATTAAAATTTTTAAGATTTTGATATTTTAAATTCATTGATACAAATTTTCATTTAATATTTAATTAATTTAAATTAAATATTAAAAATAAATAAAAATATTATATATGAATGATGCACTCTTTAGATCTAAATTCTCTAAAGCACTCAAACAATTTCAAAATATCTTTATTGACTATTGAGTAAGATTGGTAATATCTTCTGACTAATAGAAGCGATTGCAATAAGTTCAGGCAAACCACACAGATAAGAAATATCTAGATAAAACGCAACAGCAGTCATTAAAAGCCAAGGTATATGAGCAACGAACAGATAAGATTAGTTGAGCAATGCAAATGTGAATGGAAAGTTTTTCTTTCTACATATATTTCGTTTTGATTGAACCACACCGCACACACTCATCATATATCATCATCAACATAATCGTCATCATCATTATTATAATTATCAACTAGATGGATCCATGATTAAGTAGCGCTTCAAAGCTGAAACGTGACATTTACAACGAGCTCGGGGATTGTAAAAGAGGCCGAGGACGCGGGCTCAAAGAGAAATGTTGTAACAACAAGAACAGCGTAGGCAAGCACAAAAAAAATACACACAGACACACACAAACAATACGTATATAAAAATTTAAAACTAGATAAACGAAAAGAAAGAGAAAAAGACGCCAATGTCTAGTCTGGAATTTTTGTTTGTTTCATTCTGTAAAGTCATGGTCGAGGTTTTTTTTCTTATTTTTTTTTTAGATCAGAAATGCGCTTCGGCTTTGAAGCCGCCACAAGAATTTGTCACTTTAATAAGCGCATTTGGGTTCACATTCTTTTACTACTTTTTCTTCAGCTGCTGCTTCTCTTATTTTGAATGATTTGAAGTTTTCATCTGGGCTGCTCGAACCCAATCGGCAGCAGCCGCAACAATCTTTGGGCCTGCCACACGGGCGAAACGTGTCCAAATTTATATGCGGCTTAGCGGCTGCGGCGTCGACTCCGACTCCGACTGCGACTGCGACTGCGGCTAATTTATGCACAGCATGCTCATATTTGTAATATTATGGGTTATGAATCCGACGTATGGCTCGTATAAACCTAATAGAGCCATCAATGGGCCATAAAACTAGAGCTGCTGCCAGCCAAAACGAAAACACCCATTCAGGCGACAGCGCAGAGCTGTCAAGCTGTTCCGCCAGCCAACTGGCAGCTGCCACGCCCAGCAGCCCCAGAATTACAGTTGGAGCCAAGCCCCGTCTAGTCGACGTGGCGGCAGAGTTAAAAAAGAACACGAAATAAAAAAAGAAGCAAAGAAAAAGCACATGTAAAGAAAGAAAACGAAAACAGCAGCCAGCCTTAAAAAGTGGGTGGCTATCAGCTGACTAACTGAGTGAGTGATTGACTGATGGACTGATTGACTGACTGTCTGCCTGGCTGACATGCTGCTAACTGCAATTTGGCAGCGACTTTATCGACTTTTAATTCGCTGCACAATTTGCATATATTTTAATATTTATTTTGAGACAAAGACGCGCTGCTGCGGAAGGAATCGATCCAAGCTAAAGGAAGCACACTACAACAACAACTATGAAAGCTGTTGACAACAGAAACAACAACTGACGACAACGAGCTGCGAAAATTACTTGTGCTTGAACGGAATTCGCAATGCACTTCATTGCCAGCGACGCACAGTGGTGCAATATGCACAATTAATTAATGAAATTATTTTATGAATGAAAGGTAAAACATATTCAGATGCAGCATTGAATTTATATAAATTTTATATTTGAAAGTGAATAGATTATTATTTGATTTATTTTACTATTTTCAAAGCGCCTTCCCTGAATTCGACTTGATACGCAAAAAATAAATACTAGACTAATAGTCTCATTTTGCAATTTTCAATAGTTTATTGTTTATTTATTTACTATTTTATAAATTAAAAAATATTGCATAAAATTGTTTATTGCATTGCTTTACATATTTTATATAAGTTTAGTGATTGGATATTAAAATAAATCCTTTTCAAATTGTTCATTTTTTATTCTAGCATACAAACTTGTTTCATAATACTGTTCCAAGCTTACATAAAATAAAAGAAACTATACAAACACAACCTGAATACAATTCCTTTGTTTGCCCATATATCTTTAAATCAAATCAAAATGGATATATTTTGATTGATTTGCCATCGTATTAAGCATACATTGAGTCACTGTGCAATCAGGCTGAGGCTGCTGCCTCACAGCTGCTCAGCAATACACACTACTCACAATGGAGTGCCATTGATATATTTTGGGTCTCATTGAAGCAAAGGAGAAAGAGGCGTGTTTATTTCGCTTTTCTTTGTTGTTGTTGATTTCTTCTTCTTAACCACTCGTAGTTCGCCCTTAGTCACTTTGGGGGTATGAGTCAGCGAATGGTGATCCATCAGGCACTACGAAATAGCCACTGGCAGTGGGGACACAGAGAATTCTCTTAATTCATATGCAAAAACCAATTTCGCTGCTCGTGCGCTTTCATTGAGAAAACGGCACAAATTAAGCAAATTTATTTTGCCCTGTACTAGAGGCAAGAGACAAGTCCAAATACGACTATATAGTTGACTTATATATGTATGCATATATTCCACATACGACGACGACATCGGCGCAATAAAAACAAAATATTTCAGCGAATTAAAAGAAAATTGCCTCATCCGACAGTTATGCGAGGCTGTTCGTCCGTCCGTCTGTCCGTCCGTCTAGCCGTCTGCCTATATAATTTGGATAGATGTAACTATAAAGCTAGCAAATCAACAAATAAATGACTCATGCCTAAGTAAATCAACTAAACAAGGCTCTTTACTAACTAACGAGCCCAGCTTTAGTGCCCTGGTGGGTGTATCAATTAAGGCAAGGTTTCTCAATTTCTCAATTAAAGCTAGCGTCTTGCTTTCCCTAGCTCGATGTATATGAATCTGGTAAATTCTGGTTGGATAATCATGTGGAAACAAAATTACACAATTCTAAGTAATTAAGTATAATAAAAGATATATATTTTAAAACTTAATTTCAGTATAATACTTGATAGAGTATCTGTATATCTTCAGCTTTTCCACTCTGCTCCACAGCGCACACTTTTACTTGCAACACTTGAGCCTCGAATCGAGGCCCCAATGCAGTGGGCACGCTGACTCTAGCTGTTTCTGTCGTTTGCTGTTAACTGTTTGCTCTTTGAGCCATTCATCAAACGGCAAATTAGAAATTCTTTTGGCGTTGCAGCGGTGGCCTTTGTAGCCAGGCACGTGTCGCTGTGGATGACGTTATGACAGCAGCTGCGCCACGGCTGTTGCCAAGTGAGACCTCATCAGACAACTTTGTTTGTTGCCGTATAAGTATACATATATATTCTTCTTCTTTTTTTGTTGTTGTTGACAGGAAGCGCCACTGCGCCAAGCAAGCAAAAAAAAAAAAAATGCAAAGACCCAAAAAAAACAAGAGAAAAAGATCTATGACAAAAGATGCGCTAAGCATAAACTAAGCAGGACAGCGAGGACTCGGGGCTAGTTAGAAGGATGCGTAAACTAATCTGAAAAGTGTGCCCAGGAAAGGACAGCAGACAACCAAAGGCAAACACAGCCTACATCCGGTGGAAGCAAACACAAGAGAAAGAGAGAGAGAGGGAGAGAAAAAAACGTGAAAGAAAACTTATTTCACAAAAAACTCAAATTTAAATGAAGAAAAAAAGTAAACAGATGCCAGAGATATCATATTTATATGAATATATATGACAATAAAATGGAGCTAAACAGAACGAAGATTGGATACCCTATTGGAGAAATTAAGACTATATATAAGATAAGATAACTTAAATAAAAATTGCAATTGGAAATTTGTGAAACGATTGCCTCTAAGCTATAATCTATATGATATGCTAGCTTTATGATTGATTTATGATATCCTGTACCAAACTATTAAGCCATAAAGATGCAATCTCATTTTTATATTCCCATATATATATATATATATACATATATATACACTAACTAATCTTCCAATTTCAAATTTCTCAATTTCCTCAACAGTTTTGCAATACCTCCAGAGTTTAGAGTATATGGGCCAATGACAACTTAGGAAACTTAGGAGTGTGCATTTTGTCTCACCTGTCGTGTCCATGTAAACAATTAACGTGGCAAAGACCAGCGCAAACGAGAGCAGGCACAGGGCAATGGGCAATAGCTGGCGATACGGCGACGGGCTGGAGCGCGGATCAAGTTTCTTGCTCTTGTACGAGGAGGAGCCGTTGGCACCACAGCCCGCTGCAGCAGCGGCCGCCGCATGATGATGATGATGGTGATGATGATGCTGATGCTGTTGCTGCTGCTGCTGGCGACTGTTGCTCGACTGTTGTTTCTGGTGTGGCTGGTGGTGGTGTGTGGCTCCAATTGCTGCTGCTGCCGCCGCTGCCGCTGCTGCGGCTTTCGACTGCTTGTGGCAGCAATGCTGATGGCTGTGCTGCAATTGCAGCTGCAACGGCGCCGTTCGCGTGGGCGTCGACAGCGGCGATGAGACGGTGCTGGCCGATGGTGAGCTCAATACGCTGCTCAAGTCGCTAATGGAACCAGTTGAAGCGGCACATGTGGAGGCAGCGAATCCGACGCCACCACCACCTCCTCCCCCCCGGTCCAGCTGTTTGTGCGGCATTTGTCGGCTGTGGCGCTTGTGGCGCAACTGCACATGATCCGTCTCATCGTAGCCAATGTCTTTGGTTGTTGTTGTTGTTGCTGTTGGTGTTGGTGTTGTTGATGCTTGCCTCACAGTCTGCTCCTGGCCAAAGTTGACATCATCCACATCCTCGCACTCGATGTCATCATCGTCGTCCACAGCCGCCAAATTGGTTCGCGCTGGCTGCGTTTTGCGCGTGTGACACGAATCGCTGCCGCTCGCTGTTGCCGTTGCTGCTGCTGTTGTTGCTGTTACTGCTGCTGCTGCTTTGGCTGCCGCTGCTGCAGCTGCCAGCGCCGCACAGCTTCGGCTGAGTGTGTACTTTTTGGGCGTGTTCTTCCGCCTGCTGCTGTTGGCGCTGCCGCTCGCTGCGGCGACTGTGGAGCTGCTTGGCGCTGCCAGCTGCTCAGCGGCCAGCGCTGGATGCGCCGAATACACTTGCTGTGGCATAGTTAACACAATTTTCTGCTCCTCTATAATTTGGACTACTATCTCCCTCTCTCTCTCTGTCTCTCCCACTGCTAGTCACTCCTGCTTCGAGTGTCCTGTTGTGACGGTTTAGCTCCTCTCCTGTTGGCTGCTGTGGCTAATGTCGCAGTTTCGGCATCCTGGCAACCAACACGACTGCAAGAAATAAAGAAAACGAGATTCCAATTAGTTTTGTGTGTTTGTTTTGTGCTGT